ATAGATGCCTCGACCTATCTACTAAACGCGTCATACTCTCCCGCCATGTCGTATTCCATGAGAATATTTTTCCCTTCGCTGAGCGCTCTTCTCCTGCTTCCTTTGATCATGTGCTTCCTCTTACAGTCTCGGATCCTATACCAAAACCCAAGGTACCTGATCCTGCTCAACCAATTACTCCTTCCCCACCTTCGTCTCCGTCACCTCCTACTTCTCCTTCTCCTTCCCCTCCTACGTCACCCTCACAATCTCCGTCTCCCTCACCACCTCCTCCTCCCCCTCCCCCACATCGCTATCAAACTCGTAGTAAAAGTGGCATTGTTAAGCCACGAACTCAATTGTGTCTTCATACTGATAGCACAATTTCTCCTTTACCATTGTCTCATGTACAGGCCGCTCAGGATGATCATTGGAATAATGCAATGATGGAGGAATATAATGCTCAAATTAAATGTGGGACGTGGGTTCTTGTACCACGGCCCAAAGCTACTAATATTATTCGTTCTTTGTGGCTTTTCAGGCATAAGTTTAAAGCTGATGGCACCTTGTCTCGGTACAAAGCTCGGCTTGTCGCTAATGGCAAATCTCAACAACTTGGTATCGATTGCGAAGAGACATTCAGTCCTGTTGTCAAACCGGCCACCATCAGACTTGTCTTTGACGTTGCTACTGCTAAAGATTGGCCCCTTCATCAACTAGATGTCAAGAACGCTTTTCTACATGGCGATCTTCAAGAGACTGTATACATGCACCAGCCTCCCGGGTTCGCAGATCCATCCAAACCTGATAATGTTTGCCTTCTTAAACGCTCACTCTATGGTCTTAAGCAAGCACCCCGAGCTTGGTATCAACGCTTTGCCACCTACGCCAAGAAGATCGGATTCAAACAATGCCTCTCGGACCCATCGCTTTTCATTCTCTCCTCCGGTCGCGAGATCGCCTACCTCCTCTTGTATGTTGATGACATCGCTCTCACTGCCTCTCAACCATCTCTACTCAATCACATCATCACATGCCTTCACTCTGAGTTCGAAATGACAGATCTTGGTGAATTACATCACTTTCTCGGCATCTCGGTGACACGTGACCCTCATGGTCTTTTTCTCCAACAACAAAACTATGCTGCTGACATCCTCCACCGTGCCAACATGACCAACTGCAACCCTGTGTCTACACCCGTTGAAGTTGGCAAGAAACTTGATGCTAATGACGGCCCTCCGATGTCCGACCCTACGCTCTATCGTAGTTTGGCTGGTGCTCTTCAATATCTCACATTCACTCGTCCCGACATCTCATTTGCTGTCCAACAGGTCTGTCTCTTTATGCATGATCCCCGAGAATCACACTATAATGCTCTCAAACGTATATTGCGTTACATCAAAGGTACCATCAGTCTTGGTCTTCACATCCATAAGTCGTCCTCGATGTCGCTGGTGGCTTACTCTGATGCTGATTGGGCTGGCTGTCCATCCACTCGCCGTTCAACTTCCGGATATTGTGTCTTCTTCGGCGACAATCTGGTTTCTTGGTCCTCGAAGCGTCAACAAACCACTTCTCGGTCTAGTGCTGAAGCTGAATATCGCGGTGTCGCCAATGTCGTTGCGGAGACTACTTGGATTCGGACGCTTCTCCTCGAGATGAAGATCCCAATTCCTAAGGCCACCATTGTTTATTGTGATAACGTTAGTGCCATCTATATGAGCTCAAATCCGGTTCAACATCAGCGGACGAAACATATTGAGATCGACATCCACTTTGTTCGTGAACGTGTTGCCATGGGCGAAGTCAAAGTTCTACATGTTCCATCATCCCATCAACTCGCCGATATCTTCACCAAGGGCCTGCCATCTCCATTGTTCACTTCGTTTCGGTCCAGTCTTAGCATTCGGCCACCCGACGCTAAGCCTGCGGGGGGGTGTTAGACTATGTAAAGTTACATCTTTACCCATCTTGTATGTAAACCCTAGATTCATTGTAACACTATATATATGAGTCAATAATAGAGAGAACATTCCAAGGAGTTTTACCAAACTAATATTACCAAGCCAGATTCAGTCATCAAAAGTGAGATTCAGAATCATAGAGACTCTACGAGTATGACGAGCTATGTAGAACTTCTCAGGAAGCTACTATTCACGTATCATAAAAGCTCAAGAAACCAGTTCAACAATTGTTCTAATTTGAGAAGTTCCAGAAACAAACCTTGTGTGGTTAATCAGTGACTTCAAATTCTCAGTTCCGTCACATCTTCTCATCTTCATTCTCAAAGCTACACTACGAGTTTTAATTTGTAAATTGTAAGAGATCCAAAAGAAGTATTGATGAACAATGCACATTATATTTTTTAAAATAGTCGCTTGCCTGCGTTTATTGACGAAATATGCACATTATATTTTTTAAAATAATCGCTTGCCAACGTTGATACCTTTAAATAATCGCTTGCCAACGTTGATACCTTTAAATAATCGCTTGCCAGCGATGATACCTTTAAAGATTGATAAACCATGCATGTTATATTTTAAATAAAAAAATATTACTCAAGTCTATATTTTTTACCCGCTAAAATTTTTCCTCATAGATTGAACCAACGTTGATACAACATTGATGAACCATACACGTTAATTTTTAAAAAAATTATCGCTTGCCAGCGTTGATGCCTTTAAACATTGATGAACCATGCACATTATATATATATTTAAAATATTATTCAAGTCTGAATTACGATCCATTACAATTTTTTCTTCATAAATTGAATAATTTATATTTGTTTTTAAAAATTTAAATTATGGCATATGCAGAAGAAAAATCTACTTTTTTTTATTTCTAATAAGTTTTGGTTTCTTGTACAAGAATCCTTGCAACAAAACATTCTTCTCTTTACAAATTACAAATTTACAAGAGAAAGAAAAAAATGATAAATTAAAACGGATCCAAAAAAGGAAAATCACAAAATATTTGCATATAATAATCAATCTTTTGACATGTGGATTGACGATCTTATGATGTTTTTTATTCAATATTGATGAACCATGCATGTTATATTTTTTAAATCATCGCTTGCCAATGTTGATACCTTTAAATATATATTTTTTAATATTGATGGACCATACATGTTATATTTTTCAAAATAATTGCTGGCAATAATCGCTTGCCAGCGTTGATACCTTTAAATAATTGCTTGCTAGCGTTGATACCTTTAAACATTGATGAACCATGTATTACTTAAATCTGAATTTCAATCCGTTTTAGATTGAACAATATTTATTCGTTTTTAAAAATTCAAATAATGGTATATGCACAAAAAATTACTATTTATTTCTATATTTTTTTGGGTTCTTGTACAACAATCTTTGCAACAAAAATTCTTCTCTTTTACAAATTATAAATTTACACGAGAGAGCAAAAAAATGATAAATGAAACTGATCCAAAAAGGTAAAATCACAAAATATTTGCATATCAAAATGAATCTTTAGACATGTGGATTGACGATCTTATGATATTTTTTTGTTCAACATTGATGAACCATGCACGTTATATTTTTTAAATCAATGTTTGCGAGCGTTGATACTTGATACCTTTCAATATTCGTTTTTTGTAAATATTGTCAGCTAATTTTAGAGATACAAATTTCAGAAAATTGACATACTTTTGTGTTCTTGTATCCTTTAGGCACAACGCACAAGGGATCCCAGCCAACAACCTCTCTGAGACTCCAGTTTATTCCACCATCGTATCGTAGTTATTCTCATCTCAAGCTATCTGAAGCGCAGCCACAAGGTCATCATTAATGTTTTCATACATTTCACAGTGATCTCAAGATGAAGGAGAGTCATCAATGCATTGTTCCTGGTGATATATCATATATCTGGAACTTCGTTGACAAAATTAGTATCATCATCGTCATTAGCATCATCTGGTTCTTCTAGATCTTTAAATCAGTTCTTAAGATTGTTGTGTGTTTAAGGTGGAAGAAGGATCAAGTTTTGAACCTTAAACCCGTATACATTTGATGACAAGTATCGGCCACTAGTGACCAAACAAATTTATTAATTATTTCAATTTTCAAATTGTATATTATCTATGACCGAGTGAATGATGACAAGATAACATAATTTTATTGTAGAAATGTGATACTTTCGCTAAAATGTATTGCTAACTGAAGATAATCACAAAAATAATATAAATTTAGGCATAATTAGGAAAAATGAAACCAATACAATCATTCCCATCTTCATATCGTAGCCACATTTTTCAAATTTAATTTTGACTACACTGAAAAAGTTGTGAGATAACTGTTATAAACTTTTATGATGTTGTGAGATTGTACAGTAAAATCGTTTTTCTTTGAAATCCGATTGGGTTAGGGTTCAGGTTGAAGCTCATGTTTGCCTTACAGTTTTGATTCATATTTGGATTCATGTCTTTTTCTTCATGATTTCTCTGATTTATAGATCGTAAAAAGAAAAAAAAAATTGAAAATGAATGTCATGTATGAAAAACTAAAGCATGCTCCTTTGTATGTCATATATATATATATATATATATATATATATATATATATATATATATATGACATTTTATTTTAGATTATGGTATATCATCTCTCATTTTTATTTTATTTTAGATTATGGTATTACCTAATATTTCAATTAATAATAATTCATATAAAACCTATTCGTCAAATGAAATCAAGTAGGCATTTATACCCATCTATCAACAAACGTACAGAATAACAAATGGTTATGAATATGCTAATTCTATGGCTGGCTAAAACAGCTATATAGCAGTGATCACGTTAGGAGAATCTCAATTAGTTTTATGGTTCATTTCCCTGTCCATATATAGCACTGTCGTATAAAACGTTCCTATTAAAGAGAACAATTTTCTAATCGAGTGGGCAAAACTGTAGAGAACCCAAGTCATTTGCTAAAAGAAACATTCAATTTTGTAATTTCTTTTGTGCAAATGTTAACTATACAACATTAAATAAATAAAATATAGCTGTGAAAAAAGTATATTAATTTTGGAAACGTTTGGTAAGAATTTGTTATAGTAACGAGTACATATCTCTTGTAACTGACTCACATTGAAGCACGTCCTGGTCCTCCACGATCTTAGAAGATAAAGGTTGAAAATGGTTAAGGGCGTTATCGGTTATACCAGAAGGTGAACCGGTTTTTGTACTCATAAAACTTAAGGTGGTGACGACATCACTGATTAATGGTCGAACTATTGGTTCTTCTTGCAGACACATTGCCGCTACTGCTACAGCTTGGTTCAAACTTTTTTCCGGGAACTCGCCTCGAAGAAGTGGGTCCGCTAGCTCTGGGAATCTATTTGGTTCTTTGAAAATCGGTTGTGCCTAAACAACAATTGTTGATGGTTAATATAAATGATTTTAAGCATGGAAGGCTTATAAATCAGTTAGGTTTAAAATAAATATTGTTGGTCCATGCGGAATATGAAAGCTTTAATTTCAACTAAAAGTTTGAATACTCCTACATGTTGATAAAAATGAAAATGTTAAATGTTAAAGAGAGTACTTACCCAAGTAACCAGATTTTGTTCATGACTTGGTCTCGTTGTATCTATAACTCGTTTACCGGTTATGAGTTCTAAAAGCACAACCCCAAAACTATAAACATCAGATTTAACCGTCAGCTGACCGGTTTTATGATACTCAGGAGCACAATAACCGTAAGTTCCCACTACTCGGGAAGATACATTTTGTGTGTCCCCAACCGAACCAAGTTTTGCCAAACCGAAATCTGATAGTTTTGCATCCAAATCTCCATTAAGCAATATATTTGATGATTTAAAATCTCGATATATCACCGGAGGGTTTGCCTTTTCGTGGAGATACTCGAGCCCTTTTGCGGCTCCTAAGGCAATCCTTATCCGAGAGTTCCAATCCAATGGTTGTTGTCCCACTCCAACATCTGGTTCAACAAATAATTAAACCGGTTCCATTAAACTATCCGGCTCAGTCCAACAATTTTGACCTATAAATAAAAGCGGAGAAAAGAAAGGGATTGAGAAGAATATACCAAGGAGATGATCTTCGAGAGAACCAAGAGGCATGAACTCGTAAACAAGAAGTCTCTGGTCTCCATCAAGGCAATATCCGATGAGATTGGCAAGATTGGGATGATGAAGAAGACTCAACCTGAAGATCTCTACCAGAAACTCTCTATTCCCTTGTAATCCATTACGGTCAAGTTGCTTCACAGCCACCACCTAAAGTCATAATTTCAACAAACAAATAAGAGAGTCTTGTCTCTGGTTTCTTCAGAGAAAAGCCATTGATTGATAAAGCAACACTCTCTCTCTCTCTTTTTACCTGTCCTGTCTTCTCCATCTTTCCTTTGTAAACCCTCCCAAACCCTCCTTCTCCAATCAAAAACTCTTGCCTGAAACTGTTTGTCGCAGTTGCTAATTCACGAAATTTGAAACTCTTTGCCTCGATATTTTTCGGTGATTGTTTGTTCATTCCCACCGCTTCCCATGTTGTTATCTGCTTCCGATCATTCCCTGTTAACAAAGTTTGAAATTGTTAACAAAAAAGACGATTTCCCGTAGTTTTATTTCGACTAGATATCTTACACGGTAGGTCTTGTTGTTCATAAGAAGCAGCCAAAGATGAGCCTTCATTTTCTCTACTTTTGTTGTTCGTAGTTGGACCCAAGAAACAACTCATTTCAACAGAATCCAAAATCTAGGCTAAAACTTAGTTTTGTAGGATCTCTCTTAGCTTGTTACTTTAAAATGAAATTTGGAAAAGTTTCTTGATGGGTTTGACAAGAAAAGCATAAAAGTATGACAGAGATCCTACAAAACCCTGTTTTTATTTATTTATCCGGACTTTAATAGTTAATTATGTTTCGTTGTTCTTAGAAAGGGAAGATGTTTGTACGATGAAACAAGAACGAAAAAGACAACTTCATGATGAGATGTGAGAATGTTGTTTTTTTTTGGGTTATAAAACGACCATCAAACAGCTTAGGGTTGAAGAAATTAATAGAACAAAGAATCTTTGCTAACGTTTTCCAATATAATTTACGATTCTTAATTATTACCAGATATCCTAATGTTGACTTCTTCTTTTAGAAATTTCTTGTTATCTATATGGTTTCTTATTTAGCTGTAATAGATCGCTAAAAGATATCTAACAGATGCCTATAAATAATAATTCAATCCAGTTTACCAAAACTGGGCTTTAGTTGTTCAGATCGAAAATAGGAATAATTTCGGGTTTAAATGTTTGAAGTAATTATATCTGCTTAAAAACTGAAAATAGGGAATCATTTTTATGAATTACTAGGTTTTCTAAATACCAACTGATGTTTAGTCAATACTTTATGCATTTTATATTTGAAATAAAATTTTCGCTTCAACAGAAATTTGAAAATTTGGAAGGTTAAAATATTTATAGTTTTTTTTTTATATATATTGAATGCATCTTATATTACCAATACCAATATATGAACAAAATATTTTGACAACTATCATTAATCAGAATACTTCACCAAAATATATAAAATAAACTCACGCTACGCGTGAGTTCAAAATCTAGTCCTTCTTTCAAATTTTGCCTCACATTCACACTAGTTACGTCCCACTATTTTCTATGAACCTGCAATAACACTAAGCTTTTAATTAATTCAACTCATGTACACTAAGCTTAGAATTAATAACCGTCATTGAATCAGCAATTAATCTGAAACTTGTTCTTTATCTTCATGAGTTTCTTTTACCAATAACTTATTTAATACCTCTTATGTATTATCTTTCCCAACCGATGACTTACATCATCGTGAAACTTTTTTCTCCATCTAATCTCTTCTTTTTGTTCTTTTATTGCAGGGTTCCAAAACAACAATGCTTTGGGATACAGAGAACGTTTCTATCCCTAAAGACGTGGATCCTTGCTTTTTGAGCCGTAACATTAGGCTTTCGCTAGACAAAGCGAATTACTTTGGACAAGTGTCCATTGTCGCTGTCGGAAGCTTCTCCAACCTTAAACCTAATGTCCAAGAGATTCTGGAGTTGACCGGCATCGAAAAATATTACGTCAAGCCCCTCAAGCAGAAAGAGAAAGTATTAAAGGAGAATATTGACAAAAAAATCTTAGTGAGGTTGCTAATGTGGATTCATGAGATCCGCACGCCAGCTAATATTCTCCTCGTTTGGGGAGACGGTGGCTTTGTGGATGGATTATCAGAATTGGTACAAAAAGGTTATAACATTCTTTCAGCCCAACCGACTACATAAAGGTCTTCACCGAAACTGGATTTTGTGTCAAATACCATATGGCTTTGGACAAGCCAAGCTGGAGGATTGCCAAGCATTCATCAAGAGAGAAATCTCTTTGTGAGGCCACGAGAAAAATATGATCAAGGCTCCATAAGCCGCGTCTTAGATGCTTTAAACCTCTTAAAAACCAAATGCATAAATGTAAGACAAACTCAAACTTGTAATAAAAGGAGAAGAAAAGCTTAGTGAGCAGGTGAGTTCTATAAGTGCTAGGAGTGTGGATGAAAATGAACCTAACGATCTATTCCTTGATGAGAAAGGACTAGAATCATCCTGGCGTACAGTGCCAATACGATTTTATATTAGTTCTCAGATTTATCCTTATTTTTCTATCGATTGTTTTAATATAATTTTAGGCTTAGTAATCATTTAAATAGCTAGATATTGGCATTAGTAATGTAAAAATATTATTACTTTATATATATTTTTTATTTTTTTATTTTAACATAAATATTTTTTGTGTAGATTTTTAGTATCATTTATGTTGTTTCAATTTTTTTTATAATAAAATAAATAAATCTTATAAGATAAAAGTTGGTATAAAATGTATTACAAATATGATGTTTCATTTATCTTACTTGTTATATTTTGTAATGATTTTTCTATTAGTAAAACGATTAATAAAAATATTTTGACAAATATTAGAATTTAAACTACCAAAATATGTATACGTTTAGGCATACTTGTGTTTATCTTATCTATTAGAAAATGCTTTTGCTATTAATCAATCAGTTATAGAGTAATATGTTTTAACATTTCTGCTACATGTGCATTTTATTTTATATATTTTGATGACAATCATATACTTAATTTTTATTTATTTGGTGTTTGCCAAAATACTTTTTTATTTTATTTTATGCTTTTATTACATTGTCTTGCATAACAAAATCTTAATTTTCAATATGTTTTCTAGCAAAAATATTTTGTTTAGCTGGCACTAAGTGATAATATCTTTTATTTTTGTTTGAAAAACTTTAAGATTAAAATTTTACTAGATTAAAAAACATAAGTTAAACTACTAGAATCTAAATATGCTAATTACTGAGATGACTAGTCGTGATTAGTCGTTCGAAATCCTATTCGTACAGCTTTAGAAGCTTATATTCTTTTTCGCATATGTGTTTTTTTTTATTTACACTTTTCTTGTTTCCATATATATTATTCTTTTTTTTTTATAAGTATCCTAATTTTCAAATGATATTATTTTATATATTCTAATAACAAAATTTAACATTTTTTATTTTTCCATATATATATATATGTTTAAGTTTATATTTTTCTTGTTTTCATATATTGTTTTCCATTTTATAAGTATCTTAATATAGAAAGTATTAGAATCTAAAAATGCTAACTAATGAAATCATATATGAAAGGAGGCTATCTCTCTCCATTTTTTCGCCACGTCAGCATTTTACGCTATTCTGGAGCTGACACATCAGGTTTCTATTCTTCCAATCAAAACATTTCATTAATATGATTCAGCTTTTATTTTTTACACATCATCATCTTTTAATTAGAATTGTCAAATGGGAAAAACAGAATAGCCCATGACGGATGGGCCATATGGATTTGAAAATCTATTTCACAAGTTAATCTTATATTTATTATTTAATTATGTATTATTTAATTTACATATTGATTTCTACTAATATCAACTTATTTGGTTATTTTATGTTTTTTTCAATGAAATTATTTTATTGGTTTTATATACTCCAAAGTTTTTTTCGTTAATTTTTGTAATCTTAACTCAAAATATGAGTGGATAATAGTATAGTGGATTAGCTAATGGTTTGAGTAAGTTTTTCTCTTAAATTTTTGATCTATATATGACACTGAGGGTGAAGAGTACGTAAGGTCATCAAATTTTTGAGGTTCTATAATCCCAACATTACCATCTATAAAATTGGTTTAGGACAACGATTGTTTACGGATGTGTGAGTGATGCATTGTTGTTGTTGAGTATGTTGGTTGAAAATGTATTTTAATACTAAGAGTAGTTGTTCATTGCATCGGTAAATGATTAGATAATTAAAAATTACATTTATCAAAATATGACATCAAATAAATCAAAATAAAAAAAAAAACGAAAAAAAAACCCGCGGCGTAAAGCGGGTGATCAACTAGCAACAAGAACAATCAAATTAATTTGTTATTAATAAATTTTAAAACAAAACTCACGCGTAGCATAAGTATTCATCTAGTTATTATAACAAGGTTATGACTATTTGGCCATAACGTTAGAAGGAGTTTTTTAAAGAAAGGGGAATAAGTTGAAATTTAGACCGAGTGATACAAAACATAGGTTTAAAGAGATGATTAACGTGGAAGTGGAACCACGACCGCCTCGGCTTCGACCATTACGCCCACGACATCCGCGTCCACTTATTGTAATCCACTCATCTTGGATCGTTTGAGAGGGTTTGACCGGCCTATATTCACGCAAGATCATATGGGCAGATGGAGCTATGTCCTCATCTTGCTTGGTGATATGACTTGGCTTCTGCTCCAACAGTGTGAACCAGTTACCTGAATATCTAATCAGGGACATAAACTAAAATTTGTAAAACAATTAACATAGAACAAGTAATAAATACAACAATACCGAATAAGATGCTTGAGGAACGGGGATTGAAGTGGTAAACAGAGTCGAGAACTTTGATGATTCTCTCTCCTTAACTCAAAAATTATCCCGTAGTGTGATGGTTTGATGACGATTAGAGTTCCATGATAAAATTGTTTCGTCTTTTGATTTGCAACACTCACAATCAAAAGCTTATCAGACGCTAGTCTTGTGTTGTACTATCAAACACAAACAAGAGAAAAGAGAGAAGAGAGAGATTTTGATGCTTATAATCGATGATTAGAATGAGAAAACAAAGGCTTGACTTTAGAGTGCAAGCTCAAGTGCTCAACGTCTATGCCATAAAGAGGAGGATACGAGAGTTATAAAAGTTGATTCTCTAATGTCAATGTCGTAAATTGATTCCAACTTTAATACACAAGACTTAATTAGGTTGTTACAAAATCAATCAAGGAGATATTTCTTGAATTAGTCAACAACATAATTCAAAATGGAGTAGGGCAAACAAGAATAAACTAATGGGTTACAAGTCCATTTTATTAATCTCAAATACCAAATTCAATCCATATGTATTTGAGTTTCTCCTCTAACATCCAAAGTGGTCCATTTAACTTTTAGTCAAAATTTCAATCTTAACAAACTAGCCACTTCGGACCTCTATTTCTCATTCAAACGCGAATTCTGTTTTTGACATTCCAGTACACTACTACGTAGTGTTCGCATCAACGATTCCATCGTGCTTAAGAACTGGTCAATTCCGATGAACTTGTTCAACGGAAAATCCACCGTAACAATAGTCAAAACCATTTTGTCAAAAACAAGTTCCAACACTTAGTCTCACACACGGAGTCAATACGTGACATAAACA